TCTCAAAGTCAGCTACGGAAAATAAGGGTAAAGGTTACTACAGTATGTGTGAAAGGTGGCATTTGATGAAAAAAAGTGATCCCACATAAAGGTCATCTCAGAGAAAATACATTGCTAATCATAAGCTTTTAAAGTAAACAGCCCATATTATAGTATCTAAACTGTATGGTATTCTTCGTAAATGCCCAATGTGTACTACTTAAAAAAGAGGAAGATGGCATGAAGCTGAAAGTGGCATGTAGAAAGATCTGACCCTAAGCATACTGAGCTGGGAAGGCTGTACAGCAGACTAGTTCAGCTCAGTTTCAGCACTTATTTTGCATTGATTCAATGAACTTAAAAATACAGCACAGTCTCCCATTTGCATGTTCTGTCCATAATCCCCGTGGATATGAGAATTTGCTAATAATAATTGGGCACAATATTGAAAATGCAAAATCAATGGCACCGAAAAGTTTAATAGTTCCTGTGAGAAATGCAAGATTGCACAGCTGTAAAGACAGCGAACCTGCAAGTGAGGCTGGCTGCTGAGACGAAGATGGAGGGCAGAGGCCAAGCTAAGACGTGCAGATTCCACCGTTCTTTGTTATTTTTACCAAAAATATTTTTAATACTAACGATATAGTATGCACTTACACTAAAAATATTCAACAACACTAACATTTATATTTGATTTTATGTGACCCAAATGATTTTCGGCATTGTTTTTCACTTATGCATTGTCTGCAGGTTTCTGTGATCATTCAGCAAGCTTCAAAAATATTCCCATGTAATTGTTGATGGGCAACTCAGGTACAACCAAAACCACAAATGGCAATTTCGCAGATATGGAAAAGTGACTGTACTATGCAAACGTTGTAAAACAGTCAAAGAAAATATTTAAAGTTATTTATCAGGGTAGTGAGTGTATCTTTCTCTGAAAAAAAATATGCAAATTAACAGTTACAATAAAAACTATCAAGAATTTCTTCTGTTTTACAAGTTACTCATATCTTGCCAGAAGGCTAGAAAAACACGGCCATTTGTTAAATTTCACCATCAACTCAATTAATTATTTGATTTGATTAGTTAAATTACTGGATGAGATATTGACTAGCCAAACAAGGTGTGCTAGTCAAACAATGCATGGGTATGTTTGGTGATTACTGTAAATACTGGAATAACTTTAGGGGAGGACTTTAGCACAGTACTGAACCTTGAGTCTTTAATTAACAAAATCAATTTGTTCAGTTGTAGTCCTGAAAAACTTTTATCTGGTTTTTTATATATGCGGTCCTTTCATTTGTTTAACATCTTTTCTGAATGAACTTCCATTCTGGAACTTTTTATTCTGTTTATTGTGCTTACAATGTAATAAAACATAAAAAGCTCAGAATGTTTGCAAACGTCTGAATGGCAGTGTAAATATAATCAAAAAATAAATCGCCCCCCACATTTTGTCCTTTTGAGGGAAATGTTTTCTGAGATATAAGATGATATTTGTTAATGGGTAAAAAAAACAAACTTTGCCCCGTTTCCCTTATTGTTGGAAATAGGTTGTACCACGGTAAAAAGAGGCTCTGTAAGGACGGGGAGGGGTCAAATCAATCAGCGAATGTTTCTGCATCAACCCATAGATGTTTACAATGTCTGCAAACCTGACTGTACTGAACCAGTGCAAGCACTCCCGATTTTCAATCAGTTTTCAAGCACTTGATCCAGTAGCTGTACTGACAAGAGGGAGTAAGAAAGATTTTTCATGACACACCAAAAAAGAAAAAAAAAAATCAAAAATTGGCAAGTGGCTGTTGTATTTTGCATGTTTCCATGTTTCAGTGGCCGGTGTTTTTTTGCATGTCTCAGTGTCAGCAGCTAAGAAATGAGGCAGTGCCTGTTTTAGGCCTGCTACCCAGGTGCTGCTCTAATAACAGGAAAGGGGGGCAAGGCAGTATTACGGAGAGCAGCCCCCTGTCCCAGCATAGTTTACTTCACATTACAGCAGATACATTCAGCTCAATGTTTCAAGTTCTCCTTTCTCTGCAGCCAAGGGCTTACCTAAAAATTCTTGGCCCCCTGACAATATGTCACCTTGGGCCTTCAAGCACATTTTACATGTCATTTTCTGAATTTATGGCCCCCTGCACTTGCCAGACTATGCATACCCCTCCGAGGCCCCTGTCCACAGTACATTCAGCTAGGATGATTTCATACTTCTGTTCATCACTGGTGGATCATTTCATCCAGGGCTGGAGTCATTCTGGAATGCATTCATCAATTCCAATCCAAATCAGGAAAAGGATCTGCAGTAGGAATTTAAATCTCCCTGAAATTCAAATTCAATTCCATGTACAGATTTGTATTGGAATTTATGAATGCATTCCAGAATGCCCCCAACCCTGATTTTATCTGCAATTCAGAAACCTAAAAGAACTAAATCGAGAATTCTTTATTTGTCATGCACCAATCGTGTAATCAAAGAGCAGAAACAAGGTGACAATAAAATAACCACATGCAAATTCGAAGGTCAGATACTGTCTGCGGGGCTAATTTCAGATCCCAATATCTTTTAAACTGACACATGGGACACATGAAAGGTCAGAGGTTACTTCAAGCCCTTCCACTTCCACAAAATGCATAAATACATCCAGAATTGAAATAAATAATAATTAGTGATAATCATATTCACCAAAGTTACCCTATCTCATTTTTCTATATTTCTACTTCCATCTGTCTACATAATTCAATGCCAGCAGTTGATTTTGCACAATACGTAAGATAGCAAGTTGCTGCATTATTTATTTTACTTGCAAAACTATTTAATAGCTGTTGGATACACATCATCTCACTCATGGCAGTAACGTTTAATCGGTATCCACACAAACGTATCGCACAGTTTCCTTCCCTCCTGTACCATTGTCAAGCAGATCCAAGCTTGCAATTCACTCAGAATTTAACATTATTAAGTGTTACAGATGCGGGGCATGGTGCAGGCGGGGAAAGGAAGGTGACAATCCACTTGCCATTCCAAGACAAAAAAGGGTTTATTAAAGAAACTGGACACAGGGCAGAACTACAAGACAAAAGGACCACAAGAGGTCAGAACACAAACAGGGAATAGACCTCGTACTGGATTAACTAAAACAATAAAAAGCACAACTAAGAAACAAAGCAAAACTATAGACTGGACAGTAGATCAGAGGAACAAACAGTCAGTAACATTCACAATGACTCACTTAGGAAATGAACAAAGGCAGGCACTTACAGTAAATAGTGCAGTGTGGGGACATATGACCCAGTGCAGTGTGGGGACATATGACCCAGTGCAGTGTGGGGACATATGACCCAGTGCAGTGTGGGGGTATGTGTTCCAGTGCAGTGTGGGGGTATGTGTTCCAGTGCCGTGTGGGGGTACTGTATGTGTTCCACTGCAGTGTGGGGGTATGTCTTCCAGTGCAGTGTGGGCGTATATGATACCATCTCTAAGTGTTAACACACCATATTCTTTACATATCAGATATATTTTTCTCTTTCCAAATCAGATCTTTCACATTTATATTTTCCTTAGAACCCAGGTTAAAAGCCTTACTCATCATTTTCTGAATAATTCAAAACATTAAACCTTATACATTTGAAATCCTAAAGAAAAATAAAAAGCTTTCTGGGGTTTCATGTTTTTTGACCAGTCATCTGTAAAAGCCTCCAAATGCTGCATGAACTGGAGAGATGCTCCTTTGCTGGAGCTGCAGTTACGGACTGAGAAGGTGCCATTACCGTCAGTCACTCATTTACTGTACATACCCGCCATTTTCCTCTTTTTTTTATGAAAACCTCCTCTCTGCATGTAAATAACACAGAGAGTTTTTAGATAGACCAATACAGCTTACAGACATTCAAAACACTATTCAGAATATGACCTGGTAAAAAAAAATACGGATAATATAAATTACATAAAATCTAATTTATAATACTCTGTCCAGAGTGGAAAACATACTTGCTGATCGCAGATATTACTGTATCTCATGCACATGCCACACAAACACGCATAATAAAAAGAAACTTACAACTTCAAACAGCTGTCATTTGTTGATGGCCGACTTATTGTCTGATACCATGCAAATGCATAGAAAAGAAGCACCGAGTTCATTTTCACATTTCATTACGATAACCTTAAGCATCTCAAGTATCAATTATAATGAGAACATCAAAATCCCCTTTTTAATAAGTTGTTGATATCACTGAGTGGTTATGATTAAAACCTAAAACGCAATATAAATGATCACAGCTAACAGAAAAATGTGTGTGTGAGGAGGGGAGGAGATGACTGCCATCATGAACTGCTCAAGAAAATAATAATAATAATAATTGTTTATTTCAGGTGTTTATTTCTATGATTGACATCACCCTGAACCAATGGAAAAGTGTGGGGGGGGGGGGCGCACCTGGGGGACTGCTCATATGATATTCTCTATGTAACTCTTTTATTTGCATAATAATTTAGTGAATCTAAAATACCTGCTCTCAAGTACCATTTTTCCACATGCTTCCACTAAACACGCTTGCTTTTATAACAGATATTGCTTGCTGAATTAACTATATTCGCGACCATGTGCTAGACAAACGGTTAGAAAATGGATGGATAAGTTCTTATACAATTACAGCGTAGGCCTTCCAAGTGTATTGAATTGGTTAATTTTATTTTATTTTATGGTAAAAGCTACAAAGAAATCCGTATATCACATTAATATTTGTTCGCCACAGTTTCAATAAGATTCATCAGTGTTCCCGAAAAAAATGCTACATAATGACAACCGCAGCATCATAAGGTGACTCTCATTCATCGCAACGGTATTTCGCAATTTCAAAGGCACTTAAGTCATCCTGAATGCTGAACTGAATCATAAAACTTCACTGTAAAACAAGTAATATGCAATCAGGTCATGTCTGATGTAACAGGTGCATCGAAATCTGACATGCGTGAAGAGTTTGTACATCACACAGCTAAGTTAAATGTGAACACTTACCTTTAAAAGCACAGAGATTACAAACAATCCCTTCAGCGAGACACTTCTTAACTTCGTGATGCCCAACATTTTTGCCTGAAGGTCACGGCTTACTTGTTTTGTGTTGGCATTGTACTAAACGCGTTTGCTTCCTCCTGTCCCTCTTTTTCTTACTTTCTGTCGCTGTCCTGCAAGCTGTGCTTGTGGCAGGTCCGCACCGTTACGGAGACAGTTTCATTAAGGGATAGACGATAACAGTTTTGGTTTTCTGTGGGTGGAGCGATCGTGACTGGAAGACCGGTATTGAGAAGTTGAAAACGAAAATCCGGATATAAGTTATAGCCGTGCATCTACGGAGTCCTTCTTAAATGAACCCGCATACTTGCATTGCTAAAAAGGAAGTGAGGTTGCAAACCACTTTCTAGATAAGCTCCAATAAGTGCACAATGGAAAAAGAGCGTTTCAGTGTCTACTTTAATTGTTTTCCACTTTACAGAGATGCTTTGACTTACGTAGTATGAATTAAAAACGAAAAGCAGACTGTATTGGGAACAGCACATACAGTATAGGCTAAATTTGAAAAGTGTAGTTAAATTTATATTGAAAGAACTGTTTGCTTCATGAGTGAATATGGAAAAAATGTAAGACCAGTCTTTGCAATATCATTAGCCTAGAAGGACAGGATCTAATCGTGGGTGTTATTTTGGGAAAAAGTAAACTGAAGCAAGCAAAGCTGGTGATTTAATTACCCAGAAAAATAAATACTTTAGTTCCAGTAGCATGAGTGCCTGAAACTAACTAATGAGCAAATGTAGTGTCTGTTTCTGGAACAAAGATTGAATCTGTGTGGAAAAGAAGTTCAGGTTAAAAATAATTTAATCTAACCATGCAAAACATTACTGACTTTGTTTCTATTGTTGCTGAAATGTGTTCTTTGATGTAACCACACATGTTGCTAGAGTGGAAGTCTGCTGTTTGCTGTAGTGACAAAGGCAAAATTTGGTCACAAATGATATGAGCAGCAGACAGGAAGTTGACTTCATACCCGAATAGGTTACTGCAAAGACACTTGTTTGTACAATGTACAGGATAATAATAGCCACTGAACTGCTTTGCAAATTAGTAATGCTGAATTTGAACTTAACTTTTATGATTCCTTGGAGTATGTTTTAGAGAAAATGTCTGTGAACTTCGTGAGTTTTGGAAATTAAAAAAAAGTTCTTCACTGGCTTACCTCTGGATTGTGGGTTTTGGTTTTCAACACTGTAACATAGGAGGAAGCCTGACTTTTGGTTATTAGTGGTCTCACTGAGTAAGTTTTGGAAATTAGCTCTTCATTTTGAATTAAACTCTCTGAACCAGAGGCAGGAAAAAAATTAATGCAGATAACTCAGTTCATTTTTCTCTTCTAAAGTCAAATGCCCCTGTTTGGGTGGTACTGGCCTTGCACCATCACTGCTCTGTTTTGCATTGTTGGCAGAGGTGAACATCACACCCCCCACTTCTAAAATATGGTCTTCTATCATTCTTTGCACACCATCCCTTTTCCCGTACAGTGTGTTTAGCTGCCTAAGCCAGATGGGTGACTCCTGCTTCTTATCTGTCCTTCCTACATCTGCTGGAATGTCAATGGCTCTGCTTCGATTTCTGTCATGATTGTCATCAGCTCTTCTGTTTTCTGCCACAAAATCTTATTTTTAAGATCCTGCCCTGCCATTGACCCCTTTATGCTGGATAAACTTCAGCAAGCACAGAGGGGAAGAACTTTGAATTGGGGCACCACTTTGCTCTGTTGCTCTCTTTAATGTTGTGCTGTGGTTTTGTTTATGCAGATTTCCTAAGCAGTCCAGAACCCCCGACCTACCCCCATAACATAATTCCAGCCATTAATGGAGAGACACAGTTTGTTGTGGCCCTGGGCGTGGGACTCTTTTCTGGTGGATCTCTAGGGTGCGGGTGGAACTACTGCAAAAGCCTCATTATCGCTGAGCCATTAGATATGGGTGCCTTTTCCGTATGTGAAACGAGATAAACGGGACATTAGAAACAAACACACATTTGGCATGTGTGTGGCAGTGTTCACAGAGGGAAAAAAGTTTGTATTCTAAAGGAGATCCGTACACTTACCTACCCATCTTCCATAACAGCTTTTTGAAAGAAGGAAATATAAATATGTATACCAAAATGGAATGAAGGATATACACCATAATTACACTACTGATAGGGGGTTTTGCAGCCTGAAATTCAATGGTCTTCTTTTTGCTCAATATTTGTGATCAAATATCATGCAGACAAAAGTTTGCTGAAAGTATTGTTGCTTAGTGTTTTTTGTTTTATGTAGCATCTTGCATTGTAGACCCTCAGATTGATTGGACTCTTGGTGACTGTTCTCAATGTCTGCCACTTGGGGGTGCTAAAGACAGACGTATGTTAAATAGCCTTGCCTCATACCCTCAATGATATTTTGGTGTGTTAATAGGAAGAAATTATTTTAGAAATAATTTTATATTTCATGAACACGAGTATAGTCTTGTTTATATTCATTCTTTTTGTGCTGAACTCATTCACTTGTAAGAAATTGTGACTTTCCCCAAATTAATTCATTTATAATGTTTAGTTATGGAGGTATCTCAAATTCTTCTCATATGTTAGTTACATATACTGCTTAAGACATGCTTATTAATGCATAAAAAATATTTTAAGAAGTTCCCACATTTTGCATGGTGTTTGAAGCAGTTTAGCAACAAATGCAGCTAGACAGAACAGTCTGAGGAGATTTCTGCAGTGTTTGTTGCAATCAAGAAACTATTCTACTTTAAGCAAAGTATGACACACCGCGTCTCTACGAGTGGTCACAGTAACATTTACATTTTAATGTATATGTCAGGCAGCTAGTTGATAAGTGTAGTTCACTTTGAAATGTGAGAACATGATGAAGGCTTCCCCCTGTACCAATTTCACACTAAATCTTGTTGCTAACGTGGTTAGGCTGGGTTGCTGATGTTAGGAGGTAGCTGTAATTAATTCATTTATAGGCACAAAATGTTGTGTTGAGGGAGAATTTAACAGCATTTACTCCTGCTAAACGCTGCATGTGTGCTGAGAGTCAGCCTCAGCGGGACAGTACAGGGGCTTTGATACCAAAATCTGAGGCGTTTTCGCTGGCATACAGGGATTCTAACTGTAACACAATCTTACTTACTGAGCAGTAAATGCGAACAGATAATCCTGCACTCTGGGGAGAAAAAGTGCATGTGTGCGCGTTTGCATTAGGGGCTGTGTGGAAAGGACACATCCGGGACAGCACTGTGTTCATGTATTTTTCATTCATGTTTCACCCTCTTTTCTATTCTATTCACATGTGTCTGGGGGGGGGGGGGGGGGGGAGGGGGGGGGGGGGGGGGGGGGGGGGGAGAGAGAGAGAGAGAGAGGGAAAGAGAGAGAGAGAGAATGAGAGCAGGACAGCAGGTACAGAGAAGCACGAAAAAATGAGGGAGGGTGAGAGAGCTTTCATATGGTTTCCATCATTCAAATCATTGATATTAAAAGAGAATGGATAGAGAGAATGAAAGAAAGAGAACGTGGAAGAGAATGATGGAGAGGAAAGAACAGAGCACATATAATTTAATCAGAGAGGTGGACAAAAAGACCGCAGCAGATTGGTACTGGGGGCGGGGCTTGATGGGGGGGGGGGTGCTTGAAGGGGGGGTTTACTCCGAGATGCAACGTGATTCCAGGAGTGTGCTCCCCATCTCGCCTCTCTTACTCATTTGCTCTCCCCCCATTGCCGTGGCAACAGGACAGAGACTCGGCGAGCCCGAGGCGGCCTTGGGATCCAGCCTCCCCGAGACGGAGTGACGCTTGGCAGGGATAACAGAAGGAGCAGGTGAAGCTGCCTGTACTGCTGGCCGAGGGCAGGAGCGAGAGGTGCTGGAGGGGTGTGTGCCGGGCCGGGGGGGGCACGGTCCTGACCTGACCGTGCGTCAGGAGGCAAGGCTGACTCCTGCACCGCTCCCAGGGCTGGCTGCCCGCTCAGCGCCGCTCTCTGTGATGTGAATACTAATGATGCTGCAGGAATCTCCTCTGCTGCCGCTGCCGCTGCTCCCGCTCGCTCCTCCGTGTGCAGAGGTAAGCAGGCGCCATGTCCTCGCTGGCCCACCATCATCCATTTGTTTAGGGGGCATCTGGGGAGGTCAGGGGAAGGCACCTGGGACCCCCCGCCCCCCATCCTCCGATAGCAGTCCGGTCCAGTGATGCTCTAGTCTATCGTCTGTGCAGCTCCGTCTGGCCGTCTGCGTGCAGTCTGCTCCTGCTGCCGCGTGCGCACCCGCAGATGGTTCCGCAGCTAACTCAGGTCGCACACTTACATCTCACCTGCTGCACGCGAATGATGCATCGCAATAAACAGAGGCAGCTCTCCGGGGGGGGCAGCGTTTACGCAGCTCCTGGCCTGTCCTCTCTTGTCCTCGGCCGCATACATCAGCTTGCCGTGCCGATGTTCATTCAGCTTTTCATGATGCTCATCCAAGTGCGGCTGTATGGGAGAGAGACCCTTCTGCTCTAGACACCCGCAACTAATGGTTTTTATTTGGCCAACTGCACCGGAGAGGGTGGAACCATCTAGAAATGTAACAGTCCACTGTGGATGATTTTTTAAATTATTATTATTAATTCATTCTCTTTTTCTATAAAGGTATACTTTACATTTCAAGGTTTGCCATGTGACATTTACTTCAGTATATGCTATTTGACTCAAATTTAATTTTCTTTATTTGTTTGCAGTCTAATATTGCTCTATGATATCAGATGCCTCAGCTGGGAACAGCCTACCCACTGGCTGTATACTACTGAGCTTGTCCTCTATATAAACATATACTATATGTGTATGTATTATATCGGTATGTGCTGTGTATACTTAAAGCATTTGAAGTAACCATATAATGTTAAAGAAGCCAAATTTTTCCAGAGGGAAAAAAACAGACTAATGGTTTAGCAAGTGATAGATCTGCTAGTGACTGATGAATTTAATTATTCATTTTGATTATACAATAAAAATTGAGACTGGCGGGAAACAGATTAATGAGCAAATGTTTTATTCATTGCACGGATGCCTTGTGGAGAAGTTTAACATTTTGTCAGTGCAAAAGGCATAAGATCTGAATGTGGCAGTTTGCAGTGAAAGTTTTTTTTATTGCTTATAAAACTGTTTAATTATTTCTGTTATTGCTACAGCTGGGATTAGGACAGGACATGTTCAGGAAAAGCGCTTCCTTCAGATTATTTGCTATCATGGCAGCAAAACAACAAATTGGTAAACAGCGACAAAATAAGCATAGTACCTTGCATCAAATAGATCCCACTGCAGATTCACACAGAAGTTCATGCAACAACCCCAATCTGTTCAAACAAGTCTTTGGAAAAACATGTAGATTTACTGGACTGGAGAGAGGAAGGAAGGGTAACTCTTTAAGGTACACTCGAGACACTGAGTATTAAACAGTAGGATTTCAGAAACATTACAAACCCTTTCACTAAACCGTACAGTGATGTAAAGTTTTAGTGGCTCAGGCTAAATTTTAACATGTGACGTGCAGTGAAAGGAGTGACGTGCAGTTTAACATGAGACCTACAGTGAAAGGCAGAATTTCTGTGTGTGGTTATGGGATAAAAAGGTGGGAAGATAATCTGGGAATGATGTTGCTGAAATGAAGTCATTTATTGATCATGGAGGCACAGGTGGGGATCTGAGCACTATAGCCATAGCCAGCGCTGCTGTGTGGTTTGTATTTCACACAGTGGCCCAGCACTGCCTGCTCTGTGCTCTGCCTGCAGTGCCTCTAGGTCGCCAAGCCGATAGCCACAATCTCTCCCCTATTGCAGGTGGGGAATGGCGAGGCTCTATCACCATCACACCTGCAGGATGATCCCATTTGGTGCTGTGAGAGTTTCTCATTCTGGGTGCAAGTTTTGTGAAAATTGGCACCATGCATATCAGTCTGCAGCAATGAATTATTATGAATCTCCCATTAAATGAACATGTTTTTGTTTATTTTTACATTTTATGAAGGCAAATAATCCCTAGCTCTTCCCAGTATAGTGCAACACTTGGTGTTTTTTGTGCCATGTTTGGCATTTACATTAATCCAGGTCAAAACTTCAACAAAACCTGCTAAGCAAGTAGAATTTACCAGCTTGTCAAGGCTTGAGTTTAGGGTTTATGTTTGGCTGAACCTCACAAAACCCTCGGCCCCTCCCAGAGGAAATGGTTGTAATTTGGTGGCATGATGCTGTTGAGGTGAGAGACCCTGGTTTTCAGCCTTCAGAATATGCCTTGGAGGGCATCTGGGTGAGCTGGCAGGGAGACTGTGCTACCCTGAGGCATGATCGCCTACTCTCCCTCCATACTGTTACCCTGGGAGATTCTGGGCAGCAATGAGCAGCAGAACCACTACTTGGTAGCAGAAAGCTCTGCTTCTCTCGTCCTCCAACTGCAGGACTGACATGTACGACCAGACATTCCAGACTGGAAGCACAATGCATATACACATTGTATAACCAGATACTAACTAAGTGCAGTCAACTGGGATAATACAGGGTGAATTAATACCTAGACACTGGCAAAAGATTATGGTGTCTAATTTACTAAATTGTGTATATAATTGAAATAATGACCAAAAATATTGGTCTGCTCCATGTTCTGATGTTGCATAAACACAGTGTATTGCATTACATTATTGACTGCGCTGTCAAGTTTATTGGGAGAATCCCTGCAAAAACCATGTAATTATGCATTCACAGAGCTAAATAAAAGATGTATCAGGCTGAGCGTGCTGTGAAACGGCGCTGCTGTCACCATCAAAGCGCGCTGAAACAATCTGGCTCTCTAAGTAAACGCCAATCAATCCCTGATTCTCAAGCATTATACACCCTTCCGATGTTTGATAAAACTTTGCATAGCCCGAATCCTTTAAATGACTGTCAGTGTAAGGAATGAATAAATATTTTATGGAAAACAGGGGAAATGACCCAGCTGAAGGTGCAGTCTCTAGATCAGCTGATAATATATATTTTGTCATAATATAACCCACTGGCATCCAGGCTATGTTGACGTGCGGCTTCACGGCCTTGTCGCTATGGTTTCCAACCGGCAGTACTAAAGACACCTTTTCATTCTACCTTTGCCGTGGAGAGTAGCTCACGCTGATGTAAAACAGCACGCTGGTCTATATGTCTACATTGGTGGCTGAGTGTGCTTGTTTCCATGGTTACTGAAACGCCAGCTTCACTCACGTCATAGATTCAGAGCTTCTCCACAGTCACCGGTCCCCCTCGTCTATTGTTGGCCAGTAATCTGTCCTCCATTCAAAATGCTCATGGAGCTGCAGCCTCATCCACGTCACGCTTTTGTCCGCTTCAATTTATAATTAGGGCTTTTTTGGGTTTTTTTGCAGTGTTGATATAAGGGTGCTTTACCTACACATTTCTCATCTTGTGTGCTTGGTACGTTGGAAAAGGACAGATTGAGAATAATGATTTAGGCTTAAAATCATTCTCTGGTGTCACGTACCAAATGCGCTTCTGCAGAAAAGAGGCAGTTGCTTCAGGGCTTTGGGAGTCTTGCAAGACTATGCTGGATTAATTCATTCGGTGTGAGACCAGTTTAATTTTGAAGCAAGTATTTTTGTTTCTGTATTTTTTGTCTTTGTATTTTGGAAATAAAAGGGGGCTGATGTGTGTGTGTGTGTGTGGGGGGGGGGGTGTAGGTATTATCCTTCTCTCATCTTCTGCCCTCTCTGCCCAGGTCTGGTTAGTGGCAGAGCACACTGGAAGTCCACCAACTGGCGAGTCTTTGCCTGGTTTCATCATGTGATCATCACTGCTTGCCGTCATAGAGGTTCTAAAAGGTAGGTGTAAGGGAGGAAAGTGCTGCCAAAGGTGACGTTTCAGGATTACAGTGGGATCAAAGCAACGGTGGGTGGGGGGGATGTGTAACGGCTGCTGGAGGGATGTGTAACAGCTGCTCCAAAGTCAGTGTCGGCACATTATTACTGTTCTTTCATGGGTTTCCCTCAGGTACCTCACAGAAATTTTAAAAGATTAACTACGTTTATGTCTTTGAACAATGCTTGTGTGCGTGCGTGTGTCCAGTGAGCCAACTGGCATCTTTTTCAGGGTTTACAGTGTCTCACACCATCCTGGGATGGGCTCCAGACTGGCTGTGACCCTGTATTGGATGGATCTAGAAGTTGTTAAAGAGGAACTGGAAAATTTTCAAAACTTAATTATTGGCTTTCCAAAAAACGGTGTCTATTGAAATTTCATACTAAGTCTGCAGTTTGAATACAGTTCAATGAGCCCAGTGTGTCTGACATCTGCAAATGATAAAAAATAAGAAAAATGCAAAAAGCAACAAAATGAAACAGTGTACAGTGTCATTTGTAATGTATCAAAAGTAAAATAGAGTAAAATAAACAGAATACAGTACTTAGGAAAAGATGATGTTATTAACTTACTCTCATGAGTAGCTAATTAAAACCTGTAAATTTGTTAGGTGTTACATTATGAAAGTCAATTATATTAAGAATTATTTTACTTTAATTGTTCTATCTTTCCACGAGACTAGGACTGAAGTACAGTGCTAGTCAGGGTCAGCGCCCGTTTGTCCAAGTCTTCAGTGTGTTTTCCCTGCTCCCCAGATGGCCATATGGCTCTGTTGTGTGTTCACATCCCGCCTCCTGTGTTTTTGTATTTTGTTCCCTTGTGTTGCATTGGTTTCATTTTGTGGTTTGTTTTCTGTTTTGGTTTCTTGCTTTGTGCCTTGGTTGTGTTTTACCTGTCTTTCTTATTCCTCCGTGTTAGATCCTGTTTTCCTTCTTTGTCAGTTCTTAGTATCCCTGTTTAGTTTCTTGAGTTAATCATTAGTTCCACCTGTTGCCTGTTTTCTTGTGCCAGTCCTTGTGTGTTCTACCCTGATTGCTCGTCGTCCTGCACCCTCTCCGCTTGGTTAATTGTTTTCACCTGTCCTGTATTATCCTTGTTAACCTTTTGTATTTAAGTTCCTGATCCTGTTCTGTTCCTCCTGGGGGGTATTTTCCGTACATCGCTTAAATCATCCGAGATCAGATGCCTCATCTTGGATGAGTTAATGCCGGTGAAAATAATCCAGGATAAGTTGGTTTTTCAAACACAGCTGTGTAGTAGATTAGTCTAGCTGGATCCATTGATCCGAGATGATTGCATGCGCCCACGCTGCTTGAAAAGCCCATATATATCGAGTCTAGAAAACTTGATCAGCAAGTCTCTCATTGGCTTCCGCAAAATGTCAAAAAACAGGGGGGAATTTTTCACGCAATCCGAGCAGGACCTTTTATTAGAGGGGTAATATGAATTCAAAGATTTAATATGTACTAAAGGAAACACATCAAAAGCAGCCCAAACCATGAAAGACGGCTGGCAAAAAGTGTCCGACAAATGTATAAGTAGTTTTTAGTTCTTGTATTTATCACTTGAATGTAGAATTACGTTTCCAATGTTTCATTACTATCTTATTGTCATAATTACAGATCAAATACAAGCACAATTATGCAGGACATAGGAACAATTAAGTTAAAGTGAAGAACAAAAATATACTTCAAACTGGTAAACACGACATTTCATTCATATATATATATATTAGGGATGTAACAATACACTCAACTGATGATTCGATACGATTCATGATTCTCACAATACAATTTTCTCACAGAAATAACAGAATGAGCTGCAGACAAATTTATTCAAAAATATTCCTTTATTTATCTTTCTAAACTGTGCAAAATGTGTCATTTTCTTAACAGTGCAACTGAAATTGAATAAAATACTGTTTTAAAAAAACCCAAATAAAAAAAAAAATCTAATAAACTAAGGCTTGCACGTGCAGCTTTTTAGCATGGTTTGGTAATAATCTTCGTTCAGCTCACTGTGGTGCTGGTGGACATTCTAAAACATGTTCATTGTGTTATTTGTGTGTGTTATCAGTTGTTTACAGTGTTTGCACGCAGTTTTTGTCTTGTCTATGCTTTTCTCGACGTCAATTTGAATATGCAGTGACATCTGACGTCAAACTGACGTCGTGAAATCAAATGTAATATTACACCAGTTTTTCTGTTAAAGTACTGTGAAGTACTCCTAAAGTAGCAATTCATTTTCCACATCAGCCGGTTTAAATTGTCATACATTTACATCGATTTTTAACCGATTTGCGATTCATCGTTACATGCCTCACATATGTAGAAGGCAGACAAAACCTTTGGAAATTCTGGGTAATGATAATATTAGTATGATTTTTAAATTCTTTATAGAACTGTAATTTTATTGCGTATACTGTACATTACCTGCAATGGCATAAAACGCCTCTTTAATTGCCTGCGGGTGTCCGGGAAAAACAATGAAAACCCGAAGGAAATATTTCAGGCCCAAACAGACTTTGCGAATCGCCTGGCAAACTGTACTCTTTGATATATTTTCCGCATCACCTACAGTATACAAAAAAGTGCCACTTGCAAAATATCTCAAGGCAATGCACATTGTCTGAATGGCTGTGAGAGCCCGTTGGACTTCTACTATACGAAGCTAATAAATATTTAAAATATAATATTCCATCTTGGCTGAAACGGTATCTTTTGAAAAGAATATCATCCTGCGGATCGCACAAAACCCTCTAAATTTGAAATTCCCTTCTTATTTGTGCACCGATTGCAATTGGTCGCTCATCCATGACTGGCGAGGCCATGACTGAATGGATTTCCATGCACAAACACCGATTAAGTGTGTGTTTGTTTATGTAGAACAAACCTGCTCCAAGCAGGTTTGAGGATTTGGATATGCTGCTATGACAACACACCGAGCAAGACTTTGGAAACCAACAGATCCAGGATCATGCCAAATTGTCAACAATTACATCCGGCTAAACGAGTAATCCACATACAAAAAACCCCCCCCTGGAGTCATTGATGTTGATGGTTCTATTATTTGCACTCTGCCTGCTACTTGTTGCCCTGACCCTTTTGTTATTAGTCTTTGTTTATCCCTTTTAGTTTTGACCCCTCGTGGTCCATTTTTATTTTGTAGTGTTCTTAGTATGTTCAATTTTGTTTAATAAACCCACGTGTTCTTGTGAGCCGCTAGTGGGTCATCCTCATTCTCTTCCTGTCTGCTCCATGCCTTGTCCTCATACCTTCTCATACCTTCTCTGCTCAAGTCCATGACAGTACTAGTCAAAAGTCTGGACACACCTGCTTTTAAAGCATTTGATATATTTTAACCATGTTATTCACATTATAGTAAAAGGCCTCAAGGCAATGAATTAATACATATAATATATTACAACGACCAGGAGAAGTGATCAGCATCTCAAAATTTTCTCAAATTTTAGCCTCTTCAAAAAAGCCCTGTTTTGCTTCAATGGCAGCATTGCAGGCCCTTGGCATTCTTTCAAACAGCTCCTAGATGTAGCCCCCTGGAATGCTTCTCCAACAGTACTGAAGGAGCTTCCATAAGTTCTGGCCATAAGTTGACTACCTTGCTCTTACTCAACGATCCAACTCACCCCAAACCAGCTCTAAAGGGTTTAGGTCAGGAAGATCGTGGGGGTCAAGTCATCTGTCACCAATGATTTTTAGTAGGCGAATTCAGACTTTTGACTGATGCTGTATTTTAAAGCTGTATTTGTGTTCTTTAATACAATTTATGGAACACCAATTAGATCTAATGCCAGAAGTGGGTACCAGACTAAGGCTTAAAGCAAAACTTTACTGACAAAAATGCATAGATAGCTCAGTTTACAGAAATCTCAAGGCGTCTGTTTCAATGTAAAAGTAATATTTGAACGCCATGTTTTTCTACGCCTGTGACAATGCGGACTTTTGTGTGTTTATTACAGTACGATGAGCAAAATTCAATTCTAAATAAAGACTAGAGAAAGCTAGAGTACTGTGTTATTTATTAAAGCATATCTGATTTAATACTTTAGTTGAGGGTAAGCCATTTGGGTGCAATACATGGTCAACAAACGTTTTGCAATTTGCACCTCAAATGAAAACAAGGATGCTGAAGGAAACGCGCTGAACGCTAGTGCACGCGTCCATATGCACACGCCAGCACACGCATGTTAGGTGCCGTGAAGGACAAAGGGCAAGAAAGGGGACGGGCTTTGAATAGCGCCATGATTGAAACGGGGTTGAGAGCAATTACGCGTGGGCGTGGTGAATGTCAGTCTGGGGCCCATGTGTCCGTGGCAACATAGAGAGCGCCTGCCGCACACTCTTCCCCAGCGGCGCCGCGGCGCAGCACAAAGGGTCCTGGAGAGACGAGCCACTCGAGGGCCTCCAGCTGGCCGCCTGAATGCAGGTCTCTGCTCGGCCCAATTTCCGGAGCTGGGGAACAGATAAATAATATTAATTAAAAAAAGGGAGAAAGAGGCAAAGTGCAGGGTAGGGAGGATGAGTCAGTGTTTCCCTCAGAAAAGCCGAGAGCAGCCATGAGGAGTGATTCACCGCTGAGACCGAAGGCTCCGGCCGGTCGTCTATTACCTACACAGCCCGGTGTCCAAGAGCAGCGATCGGCAAGGGTGACAATGCCCTTAGAGGTGGCAGGGTGGGCTTGCAGATTCTCCTGGGAAGCAATGACTGGGTGTTCAAGCGTCTTTTTAAACGACATCATACTTTAAAAAACAAAGAATATACCCATGTAATGCATCTTTGCAATTTCCCTTTGGTAGATTAATTTTTTTTTTTTTTGGGAGGGGGGGTGGAAGGTGTGATGATCAGCTGGGAATGTCTTATTCATCAACCTGTTGGTAAGGATCTGGCCGGTATGACCCAGGAGCTTGGTGTTATGACCAAAAATTGATATCACGGTATTTTTCAAAGATATATAGGTTTCACAGTATACGACGGTATATTTTTTTTTTAAGTATGACTGGGTGTTTACCACATTTTACAGGATTTCACAGGACACATTTTTGTTTTAACGTTTTTGCATTGTTCCCACATTAACTATATTATTTTATTATTAGACATTGCGCCTATCCGCTACCTTAATGATAACATTCGCCTAATGTGTTTGTTGGCTAGCTGCTTAAAGATAAACGGCTAATGTTAAGGTGTGCGCCGGCCAAGTTAACATTTTTGATAAGTGTTTAATAGTTCAGTATTGCTGGAACGGCAGCTTTACTGACCTCATGAAATTTCTCATGAAGACTGGGATGTCGGTCTTTAAGATGCTTCGCCAGGTTTGACGTGCTACTGGACATCGTCGCCACAACTTTGTAGCACTGTTTGCATAGAGGCTTATCGACATTCCTTAGCCTTTCCATGCTCGTCTGCAAAATACATCCAAATGGCACTTTTGCGTTTTCTTTTTTTTACTAAAGCAGCTTGCAAAGAGCCTTCAATTGCAGCATATGCCATGTTCGGCCAACTCGGTATGTGTGTTAGTGGTGGGCGGATCGATCCAAGTATCAATAATATCCGTAATGTTGGCATTGATATTGATCAATACCAGTTAAATGAGATCGATACTTCAGTTTCTCTCCTGAATTCGCTGCTGCTCTCAATTGCCGCAGCCAGATGTCACTTGACTCAGAGGCGCCAGGCAAGCAAACGGGCTCACTTGCATGCGCGCGCACAGGCACACACTATAATTTTTATAATAAAGTATTGCAATAGCGGGTCACTGAGCCATGCTCGCAATAATTAAACAGCAGAGATAGCAAATATAAACTTTGCCCAAATTCTGTCCTGGGCTTTAACTAATTTATAAAAAATCAAGCAATTTGATGATGCATCCACCTTAATTATTAAAAAGTATCGATAACGGTATTGTATCGGCGATACTTGCCTTGCATTTACTTGGTATCGGATCGATACCAAATCTTGTAGTATGGCATATCACTAATATTTTTTGTTAACCAGCGCGAATGGGCGAATTAGGTGAAAACCGCACTGTTGGTATCAATAATGGTGAAAATGAACATCTAATCAGATAGTAATTTTTAATATCGATTAGTATCTGAGAATCGATTTTTTTGACAACCCCAGTGTCTCATTTTCAACTCAAGCTCAGCTATATCTTCTGTTTCTGATCTTTCGCAGTACATTTTTAGCGGTGCAGCAGTGAAAAAGGTCCCCCCCTTAAACAATTTCCAGCTGTGCCACTTTCTGAATGTTGTGTAGGCTATAAGAAAAAAATCACATCATAACAATAATAAAAAACAGTTTTCGGTATGAACCGGTATACCGCCCAACACTAGTTAAGGATTATTCCAAGCTACTGGAAAAGAGGTCTTGAATGATGGATGGATGGATAGATGGATGGATACAAGGTGTTTAGCTGCATGTAATTTAACTGAACTTTTTTTTTTGTATCACATGTATTGCTTGACATCAGCATTTCACACGAGGTGTCAACATCAGCATCCACATAATCCATGCAGGAAAGGAATATGGACACTGAATATATTAAACAACAATGCGAATGACTTCATCCTAATATGATTCTTCAATGTGATGCAAAATATCGTAACACAAAGATATTTATATTTATCTAATGACAAAGTAGTGAGTGTGACTGATTTATCGATACAGACCCTCGCAGCTTCTGTTACGTTTGTGCCCTCCTGTAAACATCCTTTTGGAAGTGAGGTATGATCAAGAAGTTTCCATGGTCCAGGAGAAGGTGCATTGGCTAGGCCAGGAGAAACCTCTTCTCCACTGGCAGCATGTAGAGACAAGTCATCGATTATCTAACCCCCTTGAGATACACTCCGGGTACTCAGAAGGCTACTGTCCTCCAGAAAGGTCAGCTGAAGGACCCTTAGCCATGTTTAGCCCCTGCTTTTATTTCCAGATGAAAACGTAGCAAGCAATGGAGGTCTGTGAACAACACAATGCTGGTTAATATCCTGAAAGTATTCACTGTGCCCTTAAAAAGTAAAGTTCTAGCTACATAAATAACTGTACAGTTATATAAATAGGTTTTTAAATAGACTAAACTAATAGATTAAAGCAAAGCTGTGTCTTTGGATAAGGACAGATTCTAATAATAATAATAATAATAATTTATTATAGCCTGTAATAACCTGACCAGCTGTCAGCTCCTCTGGGCCTATACTCTCCTTTAAACCACAAATGTCAGAATTTCCAGCATGCCCAACAAAACCATTCAATGGTTATCAAATGCGCATAATTTTGTGCCATTGAAGAAACCAATGAAATCATTACTAAAACATTATTACAACAATTTGTCACTCCAGCTTATGGTGTCCCTGTTTTACCTTGATGATTTACACAACCTGTTTATACCGATTTACAATCTGAGTCTGTTCATCTTAGAACTCTGACATTGTTCCTGAATTTTGGATAATGGTGAAACACATAGTAGCACTCAGTGCAACCTTAGTCAGGTAAACAGATTTTGGAAAACAAATGATGGACGTATGGATGATAAATAGATGGATGAATAAATAGAGGGATGGGTGTATGGATGGATGAATGGTTGGATGATGGATGGACAGATAAATCGATAGATGGATACACTGTCTCTGCCTTCAGGTACTGCTGTATTGAGGAGCGGGTTTCTCACCGCCAGCTGTGATGGCTCTGCCAGGTCCCACCCCCCTGAACCTAAAGGGACAGCAAAGGCCAGAGAAGGTACCCTCCCATAGTGCCTTGCAGCAGGCTAACGGCATGTGGTGGGAGAAGTGCTGGAAGACAGCAGTGGCGGTCGGCTGCCTGCTCAGTCTCTGCATCTTCACGCAGATCATGGTAGGGAGATTTATCTCACGATGGCAATAGCCCTCTACACACACAGGCACATAACAATGCTCAAGCAAAGCTGGTTCATAATTATTTTCTGCACGATCCTCTGGGTCTATGCTCCCAGACTTTCTTTATAACATGGCCCATAACAATGATGATTATATTTGACTGCTACCTTTATCAATCAGAGATTGCTGCTCAAAGTCTTGATTTACAATTCCACTTGAACTTTTGCAATAATAGTAAAATCACATGACTGTCTATCTCATATATGCACATCCTGCTTGCCTGTGGTATGTCATTGTGTGCGTGACGTTTGTCTGTCTGCCAATTCACATAGGGAGTGTGGATCCTCTATATGCTCAATGGATATGGAGCTTTCCCTGCAGCACATAAAGTGTTGGACCTCATGCAGTACTTATTATCAGCAACTGGGACACAAAGCTCACTGGAGGAAGAGGTTTGCATTTCCCAATAATCCATATGAGCACCACATAGTAAAATGACAGTAGGATCTGAAATAGCATTGCACCTAATCCTTAGGTCTCTTCTGAATTGTTGGTGGATATCTCCCCTGTAATGCATGTTAGATCATACAGAAGGAACTCTGGAGAATGGAAAGCTTGTGCCCCCTGCTGGCCACCCTTTTCATCGGCATTGTCATCCTGGGTATTGGGGTATGTTTTTTAAGTTGAGTGATTTTACTTAGCCCAGCGTGTGCATCTTCAGTAACTGCTATCCTGTTCAGCGACCCCCTATCCTGTAAGCTGTGTGCTATATTCCCTCCTGATGAGACACCTCCATAGGTCCTCTACTGTCTCGGAGCCCTGGTGCCCAGCAGCATCCCGGTCTTCCCAGATGACCGGCGTCAATCCATGAGTCGGCAGCCGTCTTTCACATACTCGGAGTGGACCGACCCACAGCAGGAGGACGTCTTCAGTGCCGACCCGGTGCCCGAGACCCCTGTCTTTGACTACTGCATGGACATCAAACCTGAAAGTGACCCGGCTACACTGACCGTCAAGTCAGTGGGACTCCAGGAAAGGTGTGACGCCACGTGCGGAACATGGTCATTCCTACCAACATGCCTTTGAGATTCTGTCCTCAGCGTGACCCACACCCTGTGCCCCATGTGCTTTCAGGAGGGGCTCCAATGTGTCTCTCACTCTGGACATGTGCACTCCTGGCTCCACTGAACCCTACGCCGCGATGCTGTCACCACGGGAACAGTCGACACAGGAGTATCTGCAGAAGGCATCCAATGTGCTCATGGCGGTGGAGCTTCAGAAGAGGGCCCTAGATGACGCGGCGCTGCAGGCCGAGTTCTTTGTGCGTGTGCACTACAGGTTTTATTGTCTCTCACGTGTTCAGTGGAACACGGTGAAATTCTTGCACCACAGCTGCAGGGGAAGGGACAGGTGCATGGGGGACAATAGGACAGACAGCAATGCAATAGAGGACAAGACAGTGCACGACAAGACAATGCCAAATATGTTCCAATTTTACAATATTTACAAATTTACTGTATTTACAATACAGTAAATAAGTAATAAAAAGGAAATGCATTATGGGGAAGTGCAAATTGACAAGAGTACTGTATTTAATGTTGTTGAAGTGCAGAAAAGTAGTATATTAACAGTAGTGTGCAGTACAATGGAAATGCAGTACAGTAGGTGGACAGATGCTGGCTTGGGGCAAGAATCAGTCCCTGAAGCAGGTGGGTGATAGATCTGTTTCTCAGCAGGTGAACCACCCATAGATGGTTGGCTTTCTGGGTAGTAGACATTACAGAGGCCAGACTTTTATAGGTGATTGCTGATTTGGCATGCAAATATATACCCTTTGGAATAATATTCCCCATGATTTATTGCTTAAATGACAATATGATAGCACAGATATTCTTTTACTATTGACAGGAAACTCCAATGAACTTTGTGGACCCCAAGGAATACAACATTCCCGGTGTAGTCAGGAAGAATCGATACAAGACCATACTCCCAAGTGAGCATTTCTGCTGCCAGAGGCAAAAATCCTACTTGTTCACTGCCTTGCTCTTGCATAGCATAGTGTTGCGCTGAGCTTTGCAGTGTGGAGACAGGCACAGAATCAGCACTGTGCAGAGGTGCAGGTCATTACGGCAGTGAAATGTGAGCATGTTTTAATCCCACACTTACTAGTGTTTGCCGCGTTTCAGATACACACAGCAGAGTTTGCCTTAAAGCAACAGACCCTGATGATTTCCTCAGCACCTACATCAACGCTAATTACATGAGGGTATGTGTTGCTTGACTTTTGTGGCGTTGAGTCTTCCCTGTGACCCACTCCTGCATAAGCAGTTGGAGGATGGGTGGATGTGCTGGGTCATGTGCCTGACCCAGGGTCAGGTTGGTTAATGAAAGAACAATGAATCTCAGCAGATGCGTAAGCATCCAGTCTATATTTATAGCAGGAGAACATTCAGAGCTCATGCACCTCATGTTCTGACTTTCAGGGTTATGGAGGTGAAGAGAAGGCCTACATTGCCACCCAGGGCCCCACGGTGAACACCATCAGTGACTTCTGGAGAATGGTGTGGCAGGAACGATCACCCCTCATTGTCATGATCACCAACATTGAGGAGAAGAATGAGGTGGGACCCCTTTGCAGACTGATCATTGGCTCCCTGACTTTGACAGGCTGCTCTGTTTCTGGATAGGGCCCATCAAAGCTGGCTTATGCTGCGCTCCATTTGAACTGGGAAGTCAGAATTTGACTGACTTGAAAAGTCAGAGGAACCTCTGCAACCCTGACCTCAGAATTCAAGACGGCTGCTCCATGCACCAACAGCAAAAAAGCTGTAGAGTTAACTGTTTATACTATATTTCTGTCTTATTTGTAACTCATTAATCGGTCGTACACACAGTACTGTCCAAGCACTATCTGTGGACATGCTGCTGTGTGTTTGTATGTGGAAAATGTGACCGTGTAAGGTCTTGTTATAAACTGGCTTTGCTAACAACGAACCTGACTAGAACTGGAATTGCTAAAGGCTAAAAAAGGCTAACCTGGCGGTTAACTCGGGTGTGGCATCATTCCCAGCTCCGACTTCCGACTTCCAAGGTAAATGGAAAGCAGCACGAAATGTATTTCTGTTTCCTGTATCCCTACTAGATGTTTATTTTTGGAAAAACTTTGAAAACAGGCTACACTTGACTGTGACTACAGTTGATTGTAGTATTGATGATATTACTGGCTACTTGGGCTGCCACCTGTTCCGGTTTTAATGGGATTGTTCTCTTTTTTGAGCAACTGTCCCAGGAAAATGAATATTTTTTCCCGGGACACGAATTGTCTTGGTGGTTTTTTTTTTTTTAACAAAAATTCTAATTTAGAATTTTGCAGTTTCAAATAAAACCTCACTTGACTCCCTTCTACTGCTATTCTTTTTTTCTTGCTGGTTATGTTAATACATTCAATCCGACTGGCCATGTCTATATCTTTGTTTGATTGGTAGCAGAAATACGAAGCTTACCTTGTTACCTAGCAACTGCGCGGGCTGTCGGTTTTGCTGTGCGCATCCACATCCACAACCCAACTGTGACTTAAATTGCTAGCTAGAAAAAAAAACCTATTTATTTTGCCGGTTTTGTGACAGGGACGAGGGCTATAAAACAATATCGGACAAGCCACCAGTGTCAAAGAAAAAGCAATTTACAACTCAGAGGGGGCGAAAAGAGAAAACTTTTGTGAATGGATAAGGCACAACCAAGGAGACTTCGGGGTTCAACAAAGCAGAATTTCCCATTTAGCTGGATAACTTAAGCCAAACGTGAAAACCGTCCAATAGGAGGGAAGGAAGTTACCTGGCTAAAGATAAAATACTGCTTTGTGGAATACCCCCTTCCCTGTTTTCTGCCACTCTTGTTTTGTGTTCAGCCAAAATTTCAGTTAAATATGAAGGAAAAACAGCGCTGAAGAACCATGCAAAAAAAAGTAGCACCAGAATTTTATATTACGCAAATGCAAAACCTAATCATTGCAACTTTTGGTCAAAGTAGAACTTTCATCAGACTTTTAAATTATCATGCTTGGAGTTTAATTCATTAAGGGAAAAGGTTGTTTACAATTTATTATTATATGTCTAATAATATTTTAATTGCAAAAGGGAGTGTAACTTTGGACATTAGGGTTAGGTTTTATAATTAAGTAATATATACTTACTCATCAAAGCAAAAAAACTGTATTTAACGTAGAAAGGGACAGGAACAGACAAAGGGATCCAAAGTGAGTGCAACTACGTCTACGTCAGGAAAAATATGGGTAAGAGAGGCAATAGGGAACATTGACATCATATGTTTGCAAATATGGTTTAATCCCGCCCCGAAAAAAAATGTCTGAGTGTTCTGGTTTTTCACAAATCAAAGGTGGCAACCCTTCTGGCTACATTGCATTGAAAAATTGATGAAAAAAAAAAACATTTGTCATCTGTACAATGAAATCTAGTGTGTGAGACCCTACAGTTTCACAACAAACATGATACTGTATCTGAGAGCAGCAAGCTGCAGCGTCTTCAGTGTCCTTGATGAATGTGTTTCTTAAGTTTTCATATTTTTAGCTAATTCAGTGGAGTTTATATTTTCTTGGTCCTGGACATTGTTTGTCACAGAAATGTGCAGAATATTGGCCAGAGGAGCGTGTGACATACGAGGGGATTGAGATCACTGTTGACCAGCTGATCCAGGCAGATGACTACAGCTTGAGGATCTTCACTTTACAGGTCAGTAAAGCATCTAATGGACCAGAAAGAGGTCAAGCAACCAGCAGCTATGATTGTAATAAAGGAAGACTAAGGCATGTCAGATGTGACGTATTCACTCTTTCAGGAAACATTGTTCTAGTAATTCTGTAACTTTGGCTGACAGAGGTGTAAATCAGCAACAACAACCAAAAATAAGGCTAATTAAATGTATGTGTTGATTGCACATTTTGTGAGGAATTGCACATTGCATATCCAACAGGAAACCAAAGGTCATTAGCAGGACATTGAAAAGTGTGATGATTCAGTACATTCCTCTTTGCGTCTGCATTTCTTACTTTGGTTTGAAACTGCACCCCTTTGTATTCATGTACTGCTGCATATGAGGCAGTGCGGCGGCGAGAAACGCAGCCTCAGACAATACTGGTACACATCATGGCCAGACCAGAAGACTCCAGACAAGGCCCCGCCCCTGCTGGAGCTTGTACAGGAAGTAGAGGAAGCACGACAACAGGCCCCACCCAGAAGTGGCCCTGTTATTGTTCATTGCAGGTATAAAATGTAATAGAAACATTATAATTCATTTATGCAATTTCTACATGATCTTTATTGAACTTGGTCATTTGTACTTCACAGTCAGATGTTCTCTCTTTTTCACTGGAAGAAATGTCGGAATATGTCTTTGAGATTATCACTGCTACTTTAAAAATTAATACATGCACTTATGCAACTGATGACTTCAGAGAACAGGACAAAAAGGTTCGCAAAAAATTAAGACAGAGAGCGCCGTTAATGTTTTTAACTACCGGATAATATTACCCACAAGTATAGAGCAGTGAGATTGAGAAAGAGTCTGGCACTGGCTGGCAGTCCGCAGTGTGGTGTGGGTGGATCATTGGACTGGTGGACGCCTTCTCGCTCGCTCTGGAGCACCAAGGCGCTCTGACACATATGCAGTGCATTTGAATAGGTAGTGTGTGTGTGTGTGTGTGTGTGTGTGTGTGTGTGTGTGAGAGAGAGAGAGAGAGAGAGAGAGAGAGCGAGAGAGAGAGAGAGAGAAAAAACAATGGTGACTCATCTGACAGTAGCATCAGTGTTCTGACTCCTGTTCTAAGGAGACAGTCAGATCTTATCACATCCAATGTTCTCTGTTTTACCTTAAGTTTGGTAATTGTTTGGGCCTGTGGAAGTATCCAGGACCCCCCAGGAAATGGAGAATCAGCATCCTCAATCCTTTCTTTTTTTACCCCCACCCGGTCATCATTTAGTTAAATGAGCTGGAAGCTGGACTGCAGCTCTGTCATCTCAGCCTGTGCTCCGTCTACCTCCACAGTGCAGGGATCGGCCGAACAGGCTGCTTCATCGCCACCTCCATCCTCAGCAAACAGCTGAAGAACGAGGGAGTGGTGGACATATTGAAGACGACCTGCCAGCTACGCCTGGATAGGTAACCCCCCCCCCGCCCCCCCGATCTGGCAGGCCTAAATGGACATGTGAACTAATTCACCTCATGCTATCTGTCTGCCCAGTACCTGAAATGAGCTTTTCTCTCCTCCAGAGGTGGCATGATCCAGACTTCCGAACAGTACCAGTTTGTGCACCATGTCCTTAGTCTCTATGAAAAGCAGCTATCGTGTCCTGTGGAGGAATAGTGAATGTATTCCCACCTTCCAGAACAAACCTCCATAAAAACAGCAGCTACCCTGCTAGCACAACAACTCATCTTACAGCAACTTCAGATTTCACTACATTTCAACACAACCCCAAGAGGCCTTCAGAGACCATTGGCACAGGTCTGAGGAAGGAACAGATCTCAAACTGCTCTGCTGCCCACAGTGTTCTCAGAAATGCTAGAGAATCTCTTTTCTGTACACAACCACCACTGTGGAGTCTTCTGGGGTTTCTTGGTTTAAGATGTCTTTGTTCAAGCACAACACAGCAAGATACTTCCAGCCTGGAGTAGTAACGAGTTTCAGAATGGGCTTGTAACTGTCAATACTGCATTGAAATTTCAACCCGTATTTTTTTTTTTTACCATGTTCTTATAAATCGGATTGGTGAGATGTTTTTTCTTACAAAGCTTGTATTCCACCATATAAATTATACCTGATCTGGGACTGATAGCAAAAATGACAATATTTGTCTTGACCTTATTCTGTAGACGTTGCTACAGGAGTAGATCATCAAGAGTCATCAGGGTGAAGAATACAGGTGGTCTGTCGTCAGGTCAAAGCAGAACCGCAGAGCCAACAACAGCTTGTGCAAAACAAAGTATTTTGTTAAAGTATTTCTTTAACTGCATGAAGAACCCTATGGAATACATCTAAGTATGAGTGGATGTGTGTTTGTCTGTGTGTTTACCTGTGAATTTCTGGGTTAACTGCCGAGGTCTTTCAGCTTCCTTTGTGCAGCACAAGTAAAGGAAGAGCACGGCCTATGAGGAACACCTGTTACTGGGAGCCCAAAGCCCAGGGACCCAACCTGCCAGCCTGGGATTTAAGGACCAGCTGAGTTCTTGAATGCCCCCTTCTCCCATTGAATGTATCCTGCATTTGGTAGCTAGGGTTCCCATTTCACCAGCTGTTGATGGTGAGCTATGACTGGACAGCTTAAAATGTATGAAGTGATAGTGGGCTGGTTAATTCAGCACATCTCTTTTACACAATGGCCTTATTCTACGTCCGTCTGATTTGCTCTGTTCTACCAGAGATGTACAAAGTTTCGTCACTGTCAATTCTAGCGTCCTTCTCGCAGGCCCAGCACTGCCCGGGCCTGCTTGACATGGGAGGGAGAGGCTCTCCCATCGTGTGTCAATTGCAAGCTCTGGGGTGAAACTGTGTTTATTGGCCAGCCAATCATGTGACTCCACATTGTATTCCATTGAAAATACAAGGCAGCTCAACTGGTGTGGACGTGTCGAGGTTTGAATTGCTTATTCACAACAGCCCAATCAAATTTGACAGCAGTAAATAAATTGTGTGTGTATTGGACTGTATGTATTAATATATGTATATTGTTTTGTGGATGTTCCACTGGACTCTTGAATACCCAAGATGCTGCATCTTAAGTTTTCTAAGTGATGAAAATGCCGGTATACTGTATATCTAGCTACTGTTAACCATGTATATATGATCTTACTTGTCAACTCTTTGATAGTCATACATGTCAACAAGTGACATATTTGGTAGGTAAATCATGCTGTGCGTCCAGCTCTCCTTTGTCTATAGAGGCTAATTTACATCCGTCTATCAATCCATTTAGTTTTCTGTAGGACGTGTATTATACGGCAAAAAAAAAAAGATGTTGTAGGTACATGCTCAAGCAGGCAGTTACAATTTCTTGTGCCCATAATTAATAATCAGAAGTAAACAGTGACATTTGTACTTGCCTGTTTGTACAGTTGCTTTCTCATAAACATCTCGTGCTTTGTGTTGCTGCTCTGCATACACACATTCATGTGAGTTATTGACCATTTTCATAAATACAGATTACTACCTGATTAAGGCAAATTTCCATTTGGAGTGAAATAAATGCAAAATAATAATAATAATAATAATAATAATAATAATACATCTCTGTACATTATTTTTAATAAGGGATAGTAATAACATTTAATTTCATCTTAGCCACCAAGATTAAATTGTAGACAGGGATTTGCATATAACGAATAAACCTTTTAATGTATATTATAAAGGGTTAAGAAAGCCTCATAACTGCTTTGTGAAAATCACAAAAAATGAATAAATAGATTAAGAGTGTTGAGACATGAATGACCATTGCTGTGAGTTTTGCAAAAGCAAGAGAGTGCACTAATTTTACAATCCAGGTCCAATGTCCCGTGCGAGTGACAATGTTACAGGAATTTCAAGTCTGTATAGTGCATGAGAAGATGATGTCTATAAAAATATGAAGAAAGAGTCACAGAGAGCTAATAGGAAGCATGGCCTTGCCGGTCACTGACGAACGGAACGCGGGCCATTAGCAGGACCGGGAAAGCGGAGTCTGAAGCTCTCCGCTGCCTGCAGATGGTCTGATCAGGATGAGTCACGCTCGCAATGGAAATGGTCACTCCTCACCCCCCCATGCCGATGTCCAGCCCTGCAGCCCAGCCTGCTGCATCGTTCTCATCAGTGCCCCCACTCCCTGCTAGGAGCCTCCATCTGTGCTGCCCATCTGCGCTGACTGTGGGGGCTTCGCCCTGCCCACAGCCTCCTCATTCTCCCTCCTCCTTCAGCCACACAGCCCCTTTCCTCCAGCGCCTCCATCTTCTATCTCTCACTGCTGAAATGCACTCTGTTCTATATGCCGTTTATCAAGCACACATACTGTACCAGGCAGTTGGATTGATTCACGAATGGAAACATGAGACTTCTGTGAAGTTTCAGCTTCACTTTTAAAACATTACTTGCTAATGGTAAGTCAGTAAAGATCTTAAGATCCTGGCAAAATCCTGTAAAAGCCCAAAAGCATATAGTTTTCAGTATTAGTATCTGGTCAGTGCTGTAATATTTGCAGAATTAGTTCCTCATAAAAGGGTTATCAATAGTACAGCTGTAATAACATAGTCATGTCGTTGTAATGAGTTACCTGCTCCAGAAGTTTTGTATAACAGCAGTGAAAAAGGGAGTACCACCATTTTGAAGTTTTAGTTCTGAAAAAGTTTCAAAATTAATAGTAGTATGTCTCAGTGAAAATTGTCTACCTTGTCCAGCTAAACAACAATGTTATCTGTTTTTAATGATTGCAGCAAGATGGGATCACCTTCAAAAAACATGTTTTAGTGACCGTTCCGAATAAGCAAACAGTTGGCTGTTATGGACCTTCAGAAACAAACACATGATGCATTCCTTCTTGTCTGTATCATACTTTTATATGGCTAAAGGGCACATTACTCTTTGAAATACTCTAACTTTAGGCTTTGTGGTTATGAATGATGGATGTAGGATAGTAACAGTGGTATATTTAAAGTATATACATGTATGACCCCACGACAGCATGGAACTCTAGCAGGTGTTAATAGCCATCCCAGCCGAACTGCCCTTCCATTTGTTACACAGTCCCAAAATTAATTGTATTGATTTTAAGGACTTGCATGCAGAAAGAGAAACAATAATTAATAAACTGATCATCCTGCTTTTTTCAAGCTTGTGCCATGATTTATCATTCAGGTGTATTTTGAAAAATCGGGTATAGTCCTAGAAGCAGAGGATGTCTGAGTGACTGCTGATACTGTATCATTATGTTATGGTGAGACACTGCAGGGACACAGCCTGGGCTGTTTGGCTCTTTCATGGCTCGCATATCTGTTTAAGGCTTGTGAAATATCACTCCCAACCACAATATGCCTGCATTGCATGCTTGTATATTTACCTTCTTGATAAGAGAACTTGTCATATATTTCTTGGCTTTTTTGCATTTTCATATATGTGTTGTCTATTTCTTGCCATTCTCATTCTTATCCTTCTTATAAAAAAATCACCATGGAAACATGGAGAATGGCAAAAATTACCTGAGACTAAAGATATGTATGCTTTTTTTTTGAAAATCAAAAATTCTCATTTTTTACAATTACAACAAAATCAAAAATAGTTCACTTGTTTTCAAATATTTTACTTTTTAGTTACATCCATCCGTCCATCCATCCATCCATCCAAGCGCCTGTCCCAGGCAGCCGAGGGGACCAGGCAGTAGAAGCCCACAGGTCACATACACACACTAACCACAGGCACTTGAGAGACCCCCATTAGCCTAAATGCCTGTCACTGGACTGCGGGAAGAAACCAGTGGAAGCCTGAACAGGGGGAACATGCAAACTCTCCCCAAACCAAACCACAGCAAAAACCCCCAACTCTGGAGGGGTGAGACGATAGCGCCACCCACTGGGCCCCCATGTTACAACAAGCTTCTATTATTTTAAATTAGATACATCTTGCTTAAGTCATAAAAAATTTAGTTCCAGAATTAGTATGAATCTAACATCACATCTGAAGTCCTTTTTTTTTTTTTTTTACATTGTTTTAATTTTAAGGACTGAAAATGGACCACAGACGGTTGCCCATTTGCTTAGAAGCAGTTAAGAAAATCACAAGTAATTATTAATCTTCATATCCAGAGGCAGCTATACAAATAAATATTGTATGTTCTCTAATTTATTTTGTAGATTTAAAAAAAATGTGCTGAGACAGTTTGCATCATACAATACATGGATGTGGGATTAAGGCTTAAAAAAGATAATGAGATTAGCAATTATATTGTTGACAAGAAAAAGACTTTTGTTCTATGGTTTTATGGCAAGTCCTAACTTCAGTTATTTTCTTTTAGAAATGTGTTTATATCTATATCTATATCTATATATATCTATATATATATAGTGTTTTTCATCATAATAAAAGCAGACTTAATTAAATGTACTTGTGCACTTGTTACTTGTGATGACATTTGCGTAGTACTCAGCTTTGAAATGCTGACACCGGGTACGGCAGTTAGAATCAATCCGTTTGCTTTGAGTATGTTTGAAGTAGAATAGCATATTTCTAAATGTTCGTGAGTTGTTTCGACTCTTTCAAAACAACTATCTCAACTGAAAAAGACTTCCTGGCCTGCTTTTTTTTTAGATATGAACATGCAAAGTTATTCACAGTGAATAAAAGTATCAGTAACTGATGTCAAGGTTCTGTGAGCCAAATGAATATTTTGTTATGTTAAACGTTTGAAAACAATAGTTCACATTTGTTAAATATACATACACATATATCTGAGAAATGCTTATTAAACTAAATAGAAATCTGATTATTGCCTAGGATGTGTACATAAATCAGGTCAAGACAATCTTACACCGCTGTACCTATAATGCTCTCCATAGCGGTTTGGTGCTTGTTTATGCGTTTAAATATGTTGCATATTTAAATTTACAGCGCCCTCATCAGGACTGCATTTCAAAACCACTGGTTTCAGTTGCCATACTAAGTCGCCATCTAGCGTTCACTTTTAAACTGAACAACCAGCACATTTAATATTTAAAAACCAGAAGTATTCTGTAATGTTAAAAACATTTTATATATTGCAGAAGTAAACATGCTTTTATTGAAAATAAACATATTCAATTACTGGCCTTTCAGTATATTTTTTTAATGAAATATTTTCATTAGGTCATATATAATGATAAATCTTTGCTTTATAACCAATTCAGTTAATTCCATTGTAAAAGTTTTGAGGAAAGTATTTCATGGCATAATACTACAACAAAAATATTAACATACATACAATTGGCACCACAGAGGGCCAGAGCACTTATAGGGGACAAATAAACTAAGTTTGACTTGTGCACATAGCACAGAAGTGAAATTGGCGGCCTATGTGAAAACCAGCTAGTGCCCTCGGCCACCCATGCCGACTATAGGACTGACCGGTCTGGGTGCTAGACATAAATTTTGCAGGGCATTTTGAAGTGCTTTAGAACAGCGCTTACCTGCCATACTGGTGATAGGGCCGGCCGCAGACTGCATAGTGATCAAAAACCTGTATTGTAAACAAAATCTGAATATCTCTGCTGTAAAGACAAACACACTAGTTAAAAATAAAAAATATATTACTGTTTAGGTTGCATTTAAGTTGCTACTTGCTAAAGATATAAGAATTAGTTTTGCTTTTGGATAAAAATAAATCAAATTGGTCAGAAGCAGTCATTGTCAAACTGGGCCTAACTAGTGAAGGACTTACAGGGCACTTCAAATAGTCCTTAGGAAATCCATAGTAAACTACATTTCTGGAATCTCGACTTAATTAGACACGAGCAATTCTCAGTCTGTGAGTAGGTTACAGTACACTCATTTTGGTAAAACATCATTGTGTCTTTTTTGCCAGGACCATTATACTGAAAATAAACTATATGATTCAAATTGGGAATTTGCCTAGAGTGTATTGAATTATACGACTGGGAACTATCTAGGGGACATAAATTAGAGGCGTGCTTGTTGCAGAAATGTTGTTTATCAGAAACAGAGTCCTGTTACATCAGTCTACTCAAATGTCGTATTGCAGGTTCCCTTTAAAAGCAGCAGCGGCCTTTAATCTTCTGGATCAGAAGGGTGACGTTACCTTGGCCTCGAATCGCGGGCTCCGATTGGACGAAAGTGACGTCAGTGGTGTTTTTTTCCCCTCGGAATCATGACTTCATCGTAAGTTCATTTTTTAGTGCCAAAGTGCACCTTCTGTTTTCCTTAATTACTAACTCACGGCTATTATGGGAAGGTTATCTTTCACATCTCAGTTAACAATCAGTGTCCCATGTATGAGCGAAACGAGTTGCCAATTATGTGTGCATTTACTTTAGTCCAGTATGACAAAATTTACATTAATGCTACAATAAGCGTAGTTCAGCCGAGCGCTGCCGCCCTGCCTATTCCCTCCCCGGTCTTTAATGTCCACGATTTGTAAACAGTCTAATCCCGAGCAGTGAGGTGCGCTGTCGCACAAATGGAAAATAGCGAGACAGACAACAAGACACTGTGAAGAAGGAGGTGAGTTTATTTGTGCATCTGCCATTTTAAAGCCTGTATATCTTCCTGTACTATGCAGTGTAATAAATTACATGCAGAACCCTATTTCCAGTCCTTGTCGGTAGTGTTCATGCCTGTATGTTTCGGATACCTACTTAACCATGCTGCAATCATGTACTTTTGAGAGGACGAGGAGTGATCCCGGTCTGTTGTATTTCCAATAAAACACCGAAAACCGGTGGTGCTTACTGATGCCAGTATTTTCAGTCCGCTAGCTGTACCACGTTTTCTCTCATCTCTTAATTAAAGGTATGTTGCAATTGCTGTTAGCCATTTTTGAATAATCATCTCCCCGTCACCTTTTCACGTCATACTTTTGTCGCTTTACGTGTGCCATCCTCACCTGGCATACGATTTAAACGATGCGGCAGTGAAATAGCGCATTTTAAACAATTTTACGACTCATTAATGCACGGTTAATCTGATCAGGTAACGCATTACCTTATAAAATCAAACTGAACTGTCCTACTCTGATTCAGAATGACAGGTGGGAAACGAACATGGTCCGTTGTTTTGCTTTTTAGAAAATTGCCGACCTTGGTTTTTCTGCCGCATATTGCATTACCTCTGTCTTTGAATCGTTTTATTATTGTAATCGTTATTTTATGTCGGTCATGAGAGAGCAGCCATTTACTTATTTGCGCGATTCTGTCGACACTTATTTCCGTATTTTTCCTTAGAGCAATTTCAGTAATGAGACGAGTCTAATTAAAAGAATAAAGGGAATGTTGTTTGTTGCAGATACTGCACTCCAGAACCTTTAATGTATTTTATAATTGTTTTTTTTTTGTTTAGCCGTTGATTGCTTAGGAACATCTCAGCGCCAGTAGGAATTAAAGTACTCTATTTTGCTTGTTATGTGTTTTATTAGTACCCCTGCAGGGGAACACACCCAGCGGATGCATGGTCAGTGTACAGTAGTTGGATTGCCAAGCAGTTATACCTGTCATAATGCAGCATTTAATTTGATATAGATGGATGTAAAGAAATGCACATCCTTAGAGGAATTTCTTATAATCTATTGTGCGTATATTTCTTCATGCAGTTTTACTTGTGGTAGTTTGTGTGACTCAAAAAAGCTAAAAAAAAAAATTAAAGCATTTGAAAAAGATTTTGCAAGGCAGGGAGAAGCGATAAGGAGACTTTGAGCAACTGCTCAGCACATTTTCTTTAAGGTACTTAAAAGGTTGCCCTTTTTTGCATACTCTTATGCTTGGTAACTTTTTACTTGTGAAATGTGGGATTTCATGATTTACATTATACATATAAATATTTGGATAGTGTATTTACTGAATAAATCCACTTCTCCCAAAATAATAAATGTAATGTCATACACTTTGAAATAACAGTAGGCTGCTGGGCCGCTGTATATTTAAATTGTTTTTTTCCCCATTTTTATTAGTAAGTTGCTGTTCCTTTGGTCTTTACACAACACCCACATGTATATTATGCACGCTAGATAGAGAAGACTTTATAGTGTCAAATGGGGTACCAGTACATAGACAAAACAGGGGATTTGTCATAGTATGCTATGATTAATCTTATTACCTGCCATGTCTTAATTGTTCATTTCTCATCACTTTTTATCTTTTATTAATTTGGAAACTAGCACTTGGCCAAAGACCAGATGTACTCAGTGTTTGAAGGTGGTTATTAAATGCACTGCTGCTAATCTTTCCCTGTCATCTCCCAGTAAGTGTTTGTTTCCATCGCTTCCCCTTTTCTCGCCTATAGTGAGGTCATTATTTGTCTTCTAAAAAGGAGGTTATCTTTTGGTTCTTGAGAGCATGCTGGAAGAATTTTCGCGTAGGGGTGAGTTTTTAGCATTTTTCTGAATTCTTTTTTTCTTCTTCTTAGCAATGTTGCAGGAAACAAAGAAGCTGTTTCTTCATTGGTTTCTATCGACTTTTAACTGGCACAAAATATCAGAGAGAGGACTACCGGCTAGTTGCTTTGCAAAAGGAGTATTTGCTGTGTAGAGTTTCCCTATTATTACTGGTACTGCCAGTTTAAAAAAAGTCTCACTGTGCACAAGTTTGGTGACAATAATTCTTTTGCACAGGCCCCAGTAGCCATGAATGAAAGATTGTTCAATGGATGCTGTCAGCATCCTGCGGAGGGGCAATGGTTAAATGGGCAATTTTTAAAATTTTTTATATGTAGTCAGTCCCCCCCATGTTCATTAGGAGAAAAGCATTTTAAAAGCTTGCAGCCTGGGCTTAACTGCATTTGAGCTAAAACACAAACACTCCCCTAGCTAGGCTTCTTTCACAAGAGTGCATGACTGCATAATTGCCAAGGTCAGGATTTGGTGTTTTTTTTTAAATTATTTTCTTATTTACCTTTTTTGGGATTCGAAATAGGGGTGATTCTTGAGAAATATTGAAGATAATTCATTTTCTGCATGGCCAGGTTGTGTGTTTGGGGAGGCAGGGGTGCTGGCGAATGCAGCGCCGTGACATTGTGAGCAACAGCAGCTTGTTTCTGTGATGGCATGTGTCTGCGTGCAGCTGTTCTTCACAGAGGTTTCTTAACTAGGTCATTTTCTTTATAATCAGCTGGATTTGGGACAGGTGGGTTTTGTGCATGACACAGTACTTGCAGAATGCTCACGTTTGTGTCGTAAGTGTGCTGAGACCTTTGCAGCGGTGCATCTGTAACAAGAAATCTGTAAAGAGGGGCATGTGTGAATGACACATAAGTTGCCGAATAAGTTAATTGGTGGATAGGGCATGAATGGGCAGACTGTCTGATAGTACGCGGGATTATTATCAGTCACTCTCTGTGTTTAAAACGGCTGTTATTGACCTTCAACGGTAATTTCATTCATTGTGCATAAAATATTATCATTTTTACTCATGATGAGGTACTCTGTATCAATTTGTATTTAAGAAATATTTAGTATACAATGGGTCAAACAAGCTTGTGATAATTAAGGGGAATTTCAACTGAATTTTCAACGTTCTTTCTGTTAATCCGGTCCACCACACATTCTGCACTTTCTAGCTGGGAGCTTTGGATACAAAGCTTGCTGGAATATCCAGAGCTGAGCTCCCTCTGGCATTACATCATCTAGCCGGGAGGAGGGCACAGCAGGGGTGAAGGGTCACAGGTCATACTGAATGAATGCAGCTGTCCCAGCTGACTGCTCCAATGCTTGTACAATATCTCTTTATTTTTGTCATGTTCCATGCATTTTCACTCTGTTCCCAGCTTATAAAAGCTGCCTGATGACTGTTTATGAAAGCATATAGTATTTCCACATGCCCCATTATGATATGGACACCGGATAATGACATGGACACAACCCCAACAGGGCAACCCAGCAGCGTCTGATTCTTCATCTCTCACATGTGTTTGCACGTTTTTTTTTATTATTATTATTGTTTTTTTGTATTTGTTAGGGAAAATTAATGAAAATGCGTCCATGAAGACATTAACTTTTAAAAAAAATATCCTTGCCCACGATCCACCCACACACCGATATGGTTAAAAACAACAGTTTCTGAAGGAGACGATTCAATCGGTACTTTATTCTCTAAAAAACAAACTTTGTTTTGAGGTTTGTTTTGCATTTTATGTTGTTATGAGTAGTCTTTTTAATACAGATCTTGTGTTTTCTTTTAGTCCATGACTAGCGGTTTAATTTCGTAAAAGTGTGCGTTAATTATGAAAGACAGACAGCAAGTGGATAGAAATGTCTTTATTGCGAGATGCAATAAATCTGATCACTGTTCTCTGAAATTGTGCTTTTGGTCACAGAACCAGAGTAACTTAGAGTGGAGAACTCAGCAGCGGCTGGATCCTGCATGGCTAATTATTTCCGTCACAGTCCTCCACTTTTTTTGTATCTTCTGTAACATTTTAGGTGCTAGCTGGATGCCAGCCAGCACTGCCAGTTTCTCATATACACTGGCCCTCTCCAGGCCACCAAGCCTATGAAATGATTGGTTTTATTTGAGCATCCATCAGCATCACTGGGATGCAGGGAGAAAGAGTGGCCTCTGCAGGCATCTGGGGGTTCAGCGTCTGTAACCGGCTGCATTTCTTTGGTCCCCACAAGGGGAAATTCAGTTTTATAAAAATCTGTGACTGCAATCAAAAAAACTAAAAATGTCAAAAGGTTTGTATTTTGTTAGGTTACTTATGGCTGGGTAGGGGTTGTCATTGTTGGGATTAGAGGATGAGAGTTTTGCCCATAGAAATGAATGGATGGTCCCCACAGAGATATAAATACCTAATGTGTGTGTGTGTGTGTGTGTATTTGTGGATTAGGATTATATTACATTGTGAGGACCAAATGTCCCCCACAATGTAATAAAAACCTGTTTCTTTGACATTGCGGGGACCATTTTTCAGGTCCCTTCAAAGATCTGTGAATGGAATTAAAAAAGTAAAAATGCCAAAAGTCTTGTATTTCTTTTGGTTACTCATAGTTAAGGTTAGGGCTGGGTGGGGGTTAATAAATATGATTAATAACACAGATATGAAAATTACATAGTGTGCATTGTCCCCCATATAGTTTAATGCTTAAAGCACATTTAACTGGACATGTCTGTGTTGTATAGGTTTATACTTAAGTCCATTATTTCTATCTTGTGTACTTTAAATGGACACAATACAGTAATTAGTAACAGAAAAGTATTGCAAGGGAGTGCAAAACTATTTCAAAAAATGTTTTTTTTTCCCCGTATACCGCAACTGTTCTGTAGAATCTCAAAATCACAAATACATCACTATCCAAAATTCAAATATGTACTTTTATTTCTGTTGTGTAACACCATATCCACATTTGTACACGTGAAAAGGGTTTTGCATATTTCTGGATCACGTTACATTTGTTACTTCCCTCCTATTCATTTGCGGATTTTTTTTCAATTCATTATGGGGCTGATCTGTAAGAAAAAAAAAAATCACAAATATATCACTGTTCACAAGTATGTATTTTTATTTGTATAAAATTATATCCACAAAAATACAGAGCGATCTGTACATCTAAAACGGGTGTTGTACATTTGTGGATCACTTCCTCTCTATTTGTGGATTGTGTTACGTTTGTGACCTTTGCTCCTTTTTATTTGTGGATTTTTGTCCTATTCGTACCGCAGCTGGTTATTAGAAAAAAAATCCATAAAGATGAGGTGCAGCTGCGACATTGCTATCAGGATATGAGATTCTGGTGTGTTCCGCTGGTTAAATGAAGCTTTCTTGTTTCACTTTAAAGATAACAGGAGAATTATGAACGCTATTAAGCAGATAATTACATAAACTTTGATGGCTGCAGGGAATTATGCCTAGGAGACTTTCAGAGACTTTTTTATTTTATGTCTTATAACTACTGCTGGTACATACATGCATTATACTTGCTGTAATTTACAATTTTGCAGCCTTTTGTTTTACTGTCTTCATGAAAGCCTTATTTACGTTTACGGTCCTGTTCATTAACTCATCATGGTGCCAAGAGAGTGAATTTGACAAGCCTTTTTTTTTGTAATCCTTAAAAATAGTCCGTCCACCACCTTCCCATCAATCTTCCCGTATCATGGTCAGGATCAGTCATATACCTCTTAATGTTACAATAGCTGAGTCTGAGGCATGTGATCATTTCTGTGGGAAACCTTCTCTCTGCTGTCCTGTCCAGAGAAGCCATGGATGGCCCGGCTCAGTGTCTGCGGCCGTCTTCCGTGCCACGCGCCCTGGTGCTTCCTGGATCCGTGCCAGCGGCGACGGGAAGGCAGCAGCGCCGGATGATAGATGCCCAGCAGCTGGCCCGGCTCCTGCAGCAGGGCCTGGGCCGCATGCTGCTCATCGACTGCCGCACCTTCTCTGAGTACAACGCCTCGCACGTGCTCAGCTCCATCAACATCTGCTGCTCCAAGCTGGTCAAGAGGCGCCTGCAGCAGGACAAAGTGTCGGTCGGGGAGCTCCTACAGCCTGGGGCCAAGGTGAAGGTAAAGGCCCAGGACGAGCCCCCCCCCCCCCCCCCCCCCCACCTTGCCCTCTACCACTGCATGCTGTTCCCCCCACTGCTCTCCACAATGAATACCAGTATGAAGGAAGTTAGGCTCCAGCTCTTTGATGTTTGTCAGTAGGATGGCTTAATATGAAACAGTGGGACAGACTTTGTTAGGCACTGGCAAGGTGCAGTGCAGTCCCCCCTATTTAGAAAGACCCCCTGCTCCATTGGCAGAGCACTGATCACGGCTCCGACATGGCAAAGACTAGCATATGCCACTTCGGATGTATGTACCATCACACAGGCCTCTGTCACGTTTTACAGGCTGTAGTGAGCGCTGGAAAGGAGTCCTGTTCACTTCATTCTGCCTGTAGGTCCTGCATTGATCTGCCTAAGCGCACACTGGCCTGGAGTGGCCATTCATTGGCCAGCTGCATTGAAACCAATACAGTTTCTGACTTTGCATCAAACTGTGAACTTCCAAAACACGATGTCGTTATTATTATTATTATTATTATTATTATTATTATTATTATTATTTAAACTACTGTGGCCAAAGAAGTAAGACTGGTAGGGCCCTTAATCGCTGTGCTTTTGCCATGGCCACTGTCTGACGTTTTACTGTATTAGCTGATCCTGTCAGCTGAGTAAGAACAGCTGATCCACAATGGAAATCTGGATATGGACAATAGAATAATTGTTCAGAAATAGTAAGTTTAAAATTCCAGAACCAGATTGCGCCTTAAACTGTTTTAATTATGTTTTTTGCTAAGGTTTTTCCTGTTTATGGTTTTCAGACTATGTCCATGTACTGTGGAAGTAGCGGCATTTAGACTGTGCCTGTTTACATGGAGTGTTCCAAAGGTCGAAGCTCATTACACAGTAAGACCTGTGCAGTTACCCTTACACAGTAAGACCTGTGCAGTTACCCTTACACAGTAAGACCTGTGCAGTTACCCTTACACAGTAAGACCTGTGCAGTTACCCTTACACAGTAAGACCTGTGCAGTTACCCTTACCTGTGACTATGGAGTGACGCCTGTTTTACCCTCAGCTGACCCATGTGCCGCTTGCTCTGTGTGATCATGAGTGGCTGGTGTCTTGCTCTCCGGGTGATGAGTGAACATGGTCCCTTCAGTATCGTAAAGACGCGGGACTCTCGAAGATGTACTGCGAGCATTTTTGATAAAAGGTCTCTGAATAGTTCTCGGTTATCCTGATCTTACTGGGAGCCTCACAGCATCTTCTGTTCCTATGGTAACATAGCATGAAATTTAACATGAAGAAAGACAAACCGAGCCACCTTAATGCATTTCATTCATATCTTTGCCCGGTTACTCCAGTACATGCAGGAAAGCCGCAGTCAGGGTGCAGTTTGCTGCGGAGGAGGTAACAGATGAAAGTCATATTTGTTGGATTTTATATATATAATATATAAATTCTGATAAATCCTGTTGGTTTCCCTGTGTGATGCGGGCAGATTTCTGCATCACACAGAGGGCTCTGCTCTGCTTTCATGCCCCGTCGTGCTGTGCCGATGGACGGCTACATTTCCAGGAGCTTTCTTGAGTCATGTTTGGCAGCGCCGGCCCATCTGCGTGTGATATAGCCCCGCGAAGCTCCCCCGGATCGCGCTCCTCATTCCCCCTTCTCCCCTCCCCTCCCTGGGCCTGTCTCCAGCTGACTCCCTCTCATTACCTCCCTGCCATACAGGATAATGCCTGCGATTAGTGAAAGGCTTAATTAGGCTGGCGGTATTCGGTGGCGGTTTGGGCTAGAGGAGGATTCTTTGTGATTGGGTAAGCATGACATCACCCTCTTTTGTGTAGCCGCTGGCAGCATGCACATGCGGCACGTGTGAAGCGGCTGCAGGGTACTGGTGCGAGCCTCCCAGTTGCTTTGCGCTATAAAGTTCATATTGAATTCATAATCAGCTCCAGCTGCCTCTGAATTCCCTGCCTCCTGCCCTGTGCCCCTGGATAGCCTCCAGGCTCACTGCAGCGCTGTGCTAGATAGGCAGTTAAGGAAAACGGATGGATAGAATGAATGCAGTTATTCTGTAGTAAACAGTAGTCCTCATGGCCTTGCTTTTGGTTAACATTATTATAGCTCTCTGATCAAGGACCCTAATCCCAGCTAGACATTTTTTTCAGCCAGTTGAAGTAACTTGTCTGCAGATGCTTCAGCAGTGTCACAGAAGGCTACGTCTGCAGCAGCGGCTGAGGATGGGCCTGATTGTGAATGTGAAGCACTTACTGTAGCAATGGCTTTCTGGCAGTTATTATATTGCCTCCAGGTCATTATGAAGAGAGTGTTTCTACTGTAAATGCACACAGTATCCTGTGGCAGGAAGAGACCTTGGAGGAGCGGCCGTTTATGTTCCATAAGGCCGTGTGAGTTATACACCAGCTGTGCTCTTTGTCAAGTGGGTTTTTTTTTATATTTCAGCCATATACACAGTGAAAATGGAACATTGTTCCTCCACGACCAAACGTGCAACACAAAGAACAGAAACAGAAACAAATGGACTGGCATCAGACATCAGCCGGTGTAATCCATGCTGTGCACTGAGGTTGTTTCTTCCTAGTTGTGAATTAAGGCTCCAGAGCAGCATTCAGATGGCGAGCACTGCGATGACGAGCTGCGAAATGAGGGTGATGACTGCAGGGGATACATCACTGGATGGGACCTGTGGGAGTGGAACTAATACTTTGTAAGCCTTGGGGGAAGTGTACTGTGAAAGGTGCTATATAAAAACACGTTGAACTGTACAGTATATGGCATGTGTGCCTGCAGGTTCTTTTTGCTTCTCTCTCCCTTTCATTCAGTTCTGGTCAATGAATATTTGTTCAAAGTGCATTACTGTTAGACAGAAATAGCAATTCGGTCATCAAACTGAAAAAACCGTGATAAAAGTTATGTGACAGCAAAGAAATATAATAAGTGTTAAAATTAGAACATTAGATCTGTGTGTCATTTGCACTCCTCCCTTGTGCCTCCTCACGCCCCCCCCCTCTTGCCGCAGGAGTCAGTGGGGGCTTGTTTGTGCGCCTCCTGCCCTCTGCTCCTTAGTAGGCAGCCGTGACTGTGACCCTTACCCCCTCTGAGCCGGGCTGCCGCACCCAGCACTGCCTACCTGAGCTGCCCCAGCCGTAAGTGAGCTCATTCCCACATGTGGCTGTGTGCTTATGAGCTGGACTGAGGCCACCAGCTGCAGGGTGGGGGGGCATTCCAGCATTTTCCATGTAGCAGCTGCATTAATGTCCTGCTCGTTTCCGTGTGTCCTTTGCAGTGTGTCCTTGGCAGTGTGTCCTTTGCTTAAATATTCAAGCAATCCTGAAACCGGCTTTCTCGTCTTACCTCCAGCATGCAGGGCAAGCATGCTGTGCAGACGCACTGCACTGTCTGCACCTGCAGCGTGTACCTGAACACTGTACACAGCTCAAATCCCCAGTGTGGGCCGTAATGGAAGGATGCTGCACTCGGGGCTTAGTTTCCCCTAAGCGAACAGCCCTGATAGGAACGTGCTTGATTCAGTTCGATTCAGTTTATTTATGGACTGCCCTTGCCGGCACAGTCGCCCAAGGATGCTCTTACATATATAAACATGGTCCACGGTGCAGGCAGTGTGTGATACAGAGGACAGTGGCGGAGAGAGAGAGACAGATCCCTCAGTTTAGAATGTCGCACTGGCGGGTGGAGAAAACGACGGGGGTCCCAAGGTGAGACGGCTGCCCACACTTACTGAGAGAGGGAGGAGAGAATAAAATGGTGTGTAATCAAACAAATGCACGCACTAAAACATCCAAATAAAAAACACCTGAATGTGGTTTTCTGTGCTGGAAGGTTTGTGTTTAATACTCAGTAGGTTAGTGGCTCTTTCTAACTTAGCTGCCCAGGAAGCAGGTGAACGCAGATCCCTGCTCTGCTGGACCTTCCCGGCGCTAAAGGTGCTACCTTATAGCCAGAGGTCACACCGTGGTTGCAAGGTTGTGCCGTAATGCTTTCGGGGCCGAACAAGTTGCCTGACGAGTGGAGGCAGCCGGGAGCCCGGGAGCGAAAAGGAGAGAGACCCTGTTGGCAGCGGGCTGGGGGCGGGAGCGGGGTGATGTCTGGATCTGAGAACAGCCACGCAGTGGGTGACTGCAAAAGCAAAGTGTGTCTGGATCCAGCCAGCAGCTTTCCTTCTGCTCGCTTTGCCCCTGCCCCGCCTGACTCGCAGCTAATGGTTTATGAGCCGGCTGTTTATGGGCGCAGTAACCGCCTCCGCGGAGGTGCTACCGGCCCTTTAACTGCAGCCGAGGCCAGGCCGCTGTGGGCGGCGCCGCTCGTTTGTGCGATTATGTCACTCGGCCTACCTGGCCAGAGGCAGACTCTGTAATGTGTAGCAGGCCTCTGACCTTAGCTGTCCCAGAAAGGGCCTGACGTCAGCCACGGGGCCCCGGGCCAGAGCAGAGGAGGATCGTGGGGGCGAGACGAGCCCTACCAGGCGGGTGAACGGAGCCAACTCAGGGCTGCCCAGCCATCGGGCTTTTTGCTTAGCCGTTAGCGCCAGCAGTGCTACATGCATGGGCATAGCATGTGGAACCTTATTCCCCTCCCCATCGCTTTTATATACTCTGGATGCACATTAATTTGGCAAATGGTAGCACATTCATACCTTTGTATCTCAGGTGGGAAGGGGGACAGTAGCACTTAGGAGGTGGTCTGCAATCTGTCTGTCTGCATGTGAGGGCTGAGTGACACCCCCCCCCCCCTCCTGTGTCGTGGAGCAACTGCTGTGGATCTCTGTGACACACAGGAGTCAACTAGGCGCTTCACAGATGGATGGATGGATGGATGGAAATTCTGTATTGTCTGTCAAATGAGGATATTTTTCTTTTTGCCATTCTGATTTTTTTTATACACAAAGGACTACCTTTTGTGTAATAACATCATATACAAGTTAGAACAGGATATGTTGTTTAATGATGCCCGTCACTAAACATGCTAACTGTGAGCCATTCATCAGAGAATTGACATATCACACGCTTGCTTGATGACCTTCAGCCTTTGCACCAGCGTTCATGCTGTACACACTCGCAGTCTGTGATGGCAACAATCTCATCAACAAAGAGTCATTCATCTTCTGAAGCTCCAATAGAAAGAAACTTCCTCCTGGGATGGGTTCCAGTTCCACTCACCGTGCTCCTGTTCCAGAAAAAATCCTGGTGCCACTAACCATGCTACTGTCCCGGTCCCGCTCGCCCTGATCCTGTCCCGGAAAGGGACCCGGTGCCGCTCGCCCTGATCCTGTCCCGGGAAGGGACCCGGTCCCGCTCGCCCTGATCCTGTCCCGGGAAGGAACCCGGTCCCGCTCGCCCTGATCCTGTCCCGGAAAGGGACCCGGTCCCGCTCACCCTGATCCTGTCCCGGAAAGGGACCTGGTGCCGCTCGCCCTGATCCTGTCCCGGGAAGGGACCCGGTCCCGCTCGCCCTGATCCTGTCCCGGGAAGGGTCCCGGTCCCGCTCGCCCTGATCCTGTCCCGGGAAGGGACCCGGTCCCGCTCGCCCTGATCCTGTCCCGGGAAGGGACCCGGTCCCGCTCGCCCTGACCCTGTCCCGGGAAGGGTCCCGGCGTCGCTCGCTCTGACCCTGTCCTGGCTTAGGTGTCACAAGCTTTCTGAAAATGGTCACCCAGAACCCGCAGGAGTTTCAGTTCATTTGTCTTGCTTTTATATCACAGCAAAGATCAGGGAATTTAATGCTTCTGCATCTGTGACTTTTCATCATGCATAGTAAAAGTCGTTACGCGTGCATAAGAAATATCAGCAAAATGATAGAGAAATACTTATTACATTCTTCTTATTTTGTTTTTGGCATTGATATGGTGACTGTTACCCTTTGATATATCTGCACAGCTGGACCTGGGCAGGAAGCAGGAAGTGGTGGTGTACGACCAGAGCACCCAGGACACCAGCGTGCTCACCAAAGACAGCTTTGTCTACATTCTCCTGGGCAAGCTGGAGGGCAGCTTCCACAGGGTGTCCCTGCTCACAGGTAGGTCCTATGCCAAACTCCACACAGAAGTTACACTCCTTTGTAGCATTAGTGTCTTCTTAAACCGAAGCAGTGGAGAAACATCTGGCTGTGGTGTAGGTGTCATTATGTTTTTTGACCAGCAGGTGTCGCTCAAGTCGTCATCTTTGTTGTCCGTGGTAAGGCTCAGCTGAACACCACATTAAATTAAAATGCTCTGCCAGGATTTTGCTGTAAGACTGAGCACGCAGAGTAACATTTTCCCTTTACAGTATTATTATTTATTTCTCAGTTATACTCTAAATGCTGTGTTCTTTTGAATGACTGAATAAAAATCAATGATCCTTGACTTCAATTATTCCTGTTACCCCATGCAGCTTAGGAGATAAGTGGGTAAGGCAGTAATAACGCTGTACAGCTGGAGATTTATACAAAAGCCAGAGGCTGCACTGATGATGTAAGATGCCAAACAAGAATCAGAGAGCAGCAATTATCCTCCCTGGAAGAGAGCAGTGGCCAAATGGGGATGTCTTGGCCTGTGAGAAAATGTGTCAGGATGAAACTATTTAGGGCTCCCTGAGCACACGCTGCAGTCTCCCCACATTTGAAGAGCAAGGCCTGTTCTCCCCCCATTTCAAAAGAAAAGATAAAGGGCAGGCCTGCTGGTAGGAGTGGTTCCCAGAGGCTGACGTAAAAGGAATGTAGAATACCAAAGAGGGTAGATTTTCCCCATAGATAAGAGCGATCCTTTGTCTGCTTGTTTATTTACTGATTGTGCTCTGTGCTGGGAGAGGAACAGAGCAGCCCTTGGCGGGGCTTATGATTGGGGTATGACGTCACGCTCAAGTGAGGATTACAGCTTGTGTGAAGTAATGGTTTGTGTAATCCTCTTGCAAGTAGCTGTGATGCCCTGCACAACAGGGCCACTGTGTTACCTGTGCAGGTTGTGTGTTTAATGCTGTGACGGTGTGTGTGTGTCACTCGTTTAGCCAGCGGCGATGGCCAGGGCATGCATGCGCAGGAGCATGACCACGCTGGCGTGAGGCCCAGTACGGCTCTCTGTGTTGTTCGTGTTTGCATGAGTGTGTGCACTGAGTAATGAGGAAATGGGGGAGGGGGCTAAGGGATGTGTCTGGTGGCGTGCTCACCAAATGAGAGCAGAGGTAGTCACGCTGGAGTGAAGTCATTGGATTCCAGCACAAACAGAAACAGAGGGCTGAGAGGCACTTACAAGGGCTGGGCCAGTGCTAGGGCAATGCTGGGCAAATGCTAGGGCAATGCTGGGCTAAA